TTTGTGTTTGATTATTTGATTACCATATGAGGGACTTGTTAAATTCTTCACATTTACTTTTTAAAAGTGATCTACATTGTCATCTAAGCAAAGTCAATTCTTCTAACACACTTTGAATACATCATTCCTAAACACTGCCTTTCATAATCCCTTTTCACCAAAACCTAACACTAACAGAATCTAACATGGTCGTCGTTCTTCTTCAGAATACATCGCGGCTGCAAAGATTTATAAGAGAAGTCGCAATTCAGTACAACCTCTGCAATGAGCCCTGGTATGCTGGTAGTTGGCAAAGTAGAGTCTAATATAGTAATATTGTGTTTTGTCTTAGAACTCAAACATAGACCAAGCTTGTGGAAATTTCTTATTTCCCTCTTGGACAGAGGGTGCAACGGATTTGTTTTCGTGCCTTGTTTTTAGTATTTAATAATTATTATAACCATCAGGATCAAGTATAATATCAGCATTGTTGCTGACAAGGGACTAAAAAAGCCACTCTATACATCTGCCCGCTTGAAGAAGGGAGAGGTTCTGTATCTGGAAACACACTCGCGCAGGTATGTTCAACAAGATTCGTGACCAAAATGAGTGTTATATATGTCAACTGATATAGATTATGTTTGATTTCCCTTATAATTCTTTGTAGATATGAACTCTGTTTTGCCGGAGAAGAAATGGTCAAAGCCATACAAGCAACTCAGTTGCACAACCCTGATATAAAAAATTCCCCAAATCATCAGTTGCACTCCACAAATGGTAACAAATCTGATTCTGATAATGTCGTGGTTGACGTATTTCGCTGGTCTCCTTGTAAGAAGGTTTTACCCAAGAGATTGATTGCGCACAGTTGCCATCCCCCTGCATCTTAAATATGTGGAGTTATTTTTTAATCAATCTTTCATTTCTTTTCCACTGACATGTAAATACTTTCCCCATATTTTTCATCTCAATTGAGCCACACTTACATTGCTACTACTAAACATGTTTGGTTCTGCGATGAAGACAATTGATTTTGAGTGAATTGATTCTATAAAATTGACTTTAGCTAAAAGTGAGTTGAAAGTTAAGTGATTTTATGTTTGGATAACTTTTTGCATAAGTGAGTTGAACCAAAATTTCAGTGTAGAAATCATGTTTAGATGCAAAAGCTACAAATCTGTTTCAAATAAAATCAATTCTAGAAAACATAATCAATTACACTCGTGATCAACCAAACATGTCAAAACCAATTCTACACTTCCAGAATCAATTATAAATTCTCCAAACGTGAAACCGAACATACACTAAGTCTTTCTGATCCCAACTCCCAAGGCCCTATTATAAAACCCTTGTTTGGAAAAGAAAAATGGATACTATAATATGAAGTGCAGATGGGTCGTTGGCATCGCTGGTCATCGGGGAGGAATGGTGAACAATTATGTGCTTAATAATAATTTCCTTGGAAATGTCGGCATTATTGAGAGTGGAGCCGTTCCAAAATCAAGTGTAGTCAAGTTTGAACTGTAGCTAGTTATCTTAATAACCCTAATCTGTGATTTATTTTAGATTTAAATTAATTTTTTGATTACCTGTTTAACAACTTTTTCAATGTTATTCACTGATGATCGCAAGAGATAGAAAACTCTTTGCTAAATATTAGTAGTTTGAAGCCAATGTTTAAGGGTCTCCAAATTATTATTTTTTTCCTCATTCTTCTTGTCACAACTTGAGTATGGAATAGGCTATGTGTGATGTGGTTAAAAAAATTAGAGAACGCAAGGTTAATGATTGAGTGCATATTTTTTTATAAAAAAAATATTTACAACTTGCGGCGGTTCAAACCGCCACAATATACCATAGTTTTTAAAAAAAAAATATATTTGCAACTTGCGGAGGTTCAAACCGCCACAATATACCATAGTTCTTAACAAAAATCATTTGCATTTTGCGGCGGTTCAAACCGCCACAATATACTTTCGCAATCAACAAAAATCATTAAGCAAATTAAGACGGTTGAAAACCGTCACAATATGGAGATTACGACAGTTAGCTACCCGTCGTGAAAATAACAACGGTTTGTACGACAGTTTTTACAACCGTCGCAATACGGCCTCGCGACGCACGTTTCCGCGACGGGGTTGAAACCGTCGTAACTTACAAATTGCGACGGTTAAAACCGTCGTAATCTATCAAAATGAATTGTCGCAATTTGAATATTTTCTTGTAGTAACTATACTAACTAACATTTCAATAAAAATAAAATGGAAAATCATCGAAAAAATAATCAAAAGACAAAATAACAAAAAAACCCTAAACAAAATGATCAGTGAAAAACAAAGTGATATATAACTCATTTTAGTGAAGAACAAACCAGTTGCAAAAATGACGTTTGATGAATATCTCTTGGAAGAGTTTTGATGAATATCGGCTTGAAAATCGCCTAGGTTTTTTGTGAAATGAGAGTGAAGAAATGACGTTTGATTGTTGATAGGCAAATGAAAAGTTAGAAACTAGGTAGATTGTACTCTGAAGTCACTACTACGGAAAACATATACAATAACGATTGGAAAAGGGATACCATCACACGTGACCTGTCATTGTTACCTAGGGTGTGGTTGTATATGTGCTACTTACATTTACGGTCTTATGACCGTTGCGGAAAATGTAAATGCGTGCGATATATTATCGCGGTTAATAACCAAACTGTTTTCATATATAAAATGTCTTAGGTTCAAATCCCAGTGCATTTGTAAGTATATAACCACGGTCTTCTATAAAAACCTTGGTTATATTATATAATCACCAGTATACAACCACGGTCATAATAAAATCCTTTGTCAATTTAAGATGCATATTAAAACACTTAATCTCAAATACTTATTTATTTCATCAAATCCAAAATTTATTTAAAACACTCAGACTCAAATGTACATCAAACTGTAACATAAAAGAAACAACAATTGAAGATGTATATTACCAACACTTAAACTCAAATAGTTATTTATTTCATCAAATAAAAAGTGTTGTTTACAACACTCAAAATCAAATGTACATCATATATATATATATATATATATATATATATATATATATATATATATATATATATATATATATATATATATATATATATATATATATATATATATATATATATATATATATATATATATATATATATATATATATATATATATATATATATATATATATATATATATATATATATATATATATATATATATATATATATATATATATATATATATATATATATATATATATATATATATATATATATATATATATATATATATAAGATGAGTCTCATTCTTGAGATTCCTTAATCACATTAAACATATACGCCCAACGTTTATGAATCTCTACAAAGTCTTCGCATGAGAATGGTGTTTTGTTGTTAAAAGTCTGCATAAAATATATCAGATTAAACTCATTATTGAGGACGCATAAGCACATTTTAAACAATTCATTACATATGTAATATATATCTGATCCCATTTATCAACAATATCGGTGAAGACAATGTTTAACATGTGTCTCATTATATAATAACCACACTTGAATTCTTTTGGCTGTTTCCTTATCTACAAAAATAAATATTAATTTGATGAATGTTATAAACACACATGTATGTAATAATATATATAAATGAATGTCTCAAATAATATAGCCACTTACTTTAGGCAAGATAAATGTTGGATTTTTCCTAACATTGTTCAACATATTGTATTGTTGCACAACAATGTACATTTGAAAATATTTTATCGGTTAAACCAATTAAACCAAATACAAAGTCATAAAATACAATGACTGGGTGTCGAAGCGAGCTCCCATAGAGCTCTATTCCCTCTATTTTCTTAAAAGCCGAGGTAAATTGTTTTTTATTTAAAAAAATGAAACCTAATTCTCACAATACCTATTCCCTCAATTTTTATAGTTTGAGGTGTTAACTTCGTCCTAAAAAGCATTATTTGTTGTAGTGCAATATTGAAAATCTCTTACTGCGTAAAGGGACTGAAGTACTCTCGAGTTGTAAGGGGAACCATGATATATCGTCGTTGTTCTTTACTTTTCTGCATTTTACCGCTTTCTAAAACACTATCAAACCAGAAAGTTAAAAGTAACATTTAATTAAACCAAAAATCTATCAAAATACCTAATTCATCCCCCTCTTAGGTGCACTCTGAACTTACAATCAAGTCGCAACTTAATTGCCACATGAAACATAGCATTTAGAGATTCACACTCCATTCATAATGCACTACAACTTTAAAGAGGTGAAAAAAGAAGTAGAAAAGAAGAAGAAGAAGTTAATGTTTTGTTATTGGAAGACCGAAGATACTTATTTAATTTCACTTTTTCCAATGACATGGAGACATGATTTTCATATCATAAATGAGTTTTCGCAAAATTTAAAATTCTTGTGCAAAAACATTGTAACATGTGTAAACCTAATTTTATTTTATTTTTATGTGGTTTTCATGTGGTGGCAAGGTGAGTGAATGAGAAGTAACATGTGTGTAAAATAGATTTAAATATTATATATTTATCTACGCGAAATTATATACAAAGGTTGGTTGGGGTTTCCGAGATTTTGATTAAATATGGATTTGTTTTCTTTTAGCCTATGACCGACTTAGAACAATGTGTCTCAAAATAAATTTTATCTCCCATTTTTTAGATAATACAATTTCAAAAAATATTTAAATTAAGTAATAAAAATCATTTTAAATAGATATATTTTTAAAAAATATGTCATTTTTATTATGTTAAAAAATGATATCTAAATTAATAAATACATAAATTTCTGTTTTAATTTTAATGTGTAACAAATAGTTTTCAAATAAATTTTACTAGTTTATAGTAAATTCACTTGAAAACACTTTTAATAATATAAAAATAAAATTGTTTTTAATAAGTCTTTGTCAATGATAAAAAATATTTTTAATAAGTTACTTTTGAGGTCTCTCCCACGTTTATATTTTGAATTTTGATTCGTTCAACAAAATATACCCAAATAACAAACTGCTTAGGGTTTGTGGAATGAGTAGTAACAAACGGCAAGTTTGATGAAACAGTGGCAGCTTCCGAGAGTTCACATTCAAATCATCACTCTCGATTCACAACCCTCTAATAATCATGAACACACAAAATCATATTGATAACAAAGATAGGATCAATGATTTACCTGATAGTCTTATACTTCACATACTCTCTTTTTTGAACACCAAACAAGCTATTCACACTTGTATTCTTTCCACAAGATGGAACAATTTCTGGAAGTACATTCCCATTCTAACATTAGTCTCTTCACAATTCACCTCTGTCGAGATTTTCACCGAATTTGTCTCTCAGATCTTGTCTCTTCGCGATAACTCAACAGAACTGCACACCCTAGTATTTCGCAGCCATAAAGTCGTGGAGCCTTCCCTGCTCAAAAAGATTCTAAAGTATGCAGTTTCACATAACGTTCAACGATTAGATATTGGTGTTACATGTGATATTCCACACTTTCCGACTTGTTTGTTGTCATGTCGCACTTTAAAATCTCTTGATCTTTATGTTAGTCATCCTACAGTTTATGGCACGACCAAATTGTTTCCTAGTTCTTTGAATATGCCACTATTAACCATCTTGGGTCTATTGCACTTTGCCTTTTCAGCTTGGGTGTATTGTGAAGTTGTGGACGAGCAAAACCTTTGCATTTCAAGTGCCAAACTTGTCAATTTATGTATCTACATGGTTCATTATGCACCCAAAACCTATTTCGGAATCGAGCTATCTGCTCCAAATCTTTGTAGCTTTGCTTTTAGTGGTATTCCTGTTCAGAAACTCTCTTGGAGCAAGAGCAAACTCTTTTCTATCAAAA